TCTCGGGATACCACGCATTCGGCGTGGGATTTGTCGCATCAAGAGCAGGGAGCCATCTTTCGTCCAGTACGATTAATACGATCTCCAAGGGCCTTAATGTCGGTCGCGGGTTTAAAACGATCGGGGGACATGTTGAGGAGAGAAGAAGGCGGTTGCTTTCTAGCGATATTTCTTTGGTCGTACTTAAGCTTGGGGACCAAGCTAAGCTAAAAAGGGGATAGTGTCACGAATCACGTGCTCACGTGATACTTGTCATAATAAAGAGGCGCAACCCTCGACAGGCACATCCAGGTTTCTTATAGCAAATAGGGATGCTTAGACTAGCTAAGCGACCCAGGGATTTCCTTCGTATCTTATCACGTGACTAGTTGGATCGACTGGACCGACGATCGGTCTGAACTCCTGGAACGACACGACCGACCAGCGGTCCTGGCAGAGTACAGGAAAGTGAAGGGTCTATATAAGACTGGCACGTCTGCCATTAGATAGGAGCTTCGTGCTCAACTTAGTTATCAATCTTATCATATTAGTTTGACATCTTTGATACAAGTAACGAGTTCACTTCCAAGTGAACAACCCGATAGTCTTCTTCTTATCATAGCATACCAACCAGCGAACACCCAGCCAAGTTTAGTTAGCCAGTTTGAGTATTCGTTACATATAAGCCTAGTCGCGACGTTTACCTATAATATCGAAATAGCCCTTTCCTTAGGGAAATAATTAATAATAGTTTTAATAGATATCTAAGAGGCCTTTAACGCGCTACTTAAGTAGCGTCTTCTTAAAAGGATAGGCGTATAAAGCTTTCTTCTTTTACTTTTATAACTAATTAATAGCTTCCTTTTAAATTATTAAGTCTAAGTTCGCCTTAATAAAACTATGATACTATAGTACTTAGTAGACTATAGTACTCCTTAAGACTCGCTACTATTGTGACGGTTATGGTCACGAGGGCTGGATGTCACATGCTCGCTTAGCGAGGCGCTAGCGCGCACGACCTGTATTTAGTTCCCAGCTCTCTCGAGCTCTCCTTCTTTCCTCGTCTTTTGTCCTAAGAATAGAGTGTTAATTGTTCTGAGTTCTACCTGAAGCACGTCTGTCACAACTATCCTTAGTACTATATATACTATATTTGATAGAACTTCTTATATAAGATAAGACTCTATACTTTAAATATACTAATATATTTATTTTTATAAGGTTAGCTAGTTCCTTGATAATAATATTACGCTTATTACTATAAACGTATAAAGTATACTCGACTAAAGAATAGCTAACTAGGTTACCTTTACCTCGAAAAAGCTAGAAATAATTTATTTATTCCGAAAATATAACTAGGTAACTCTAGTATACGTTATTAATAAAAACCTTACTATTCGGCCTATTATAAATATAGAGAAACTAGGTTAGTAGCTAGCGCTTAGATAGCTTAGGGTATAGTTTAATTAAAAAGCAACTTAGAAGAGATATCTTATAAAGAGAGTAGATAAGGCTGAATAAGTAGTCTACTATATCTATAACTTAGGGAAAACTAAGAATAAGCCTCTACTATTATCTCTATATAAGGTAGTAGTTACCTACGTACTCTCTTCTATTCTCTATAGTATAGAAGCCTAGTATAAAGGTAGGACTAAGATACACTACTACTTATAAAGATAAAACGTCGAGGGTATTACTCTTATTAGCGCTCGAAATAGCTAATATACTAACCTTATTAATAAAAACCTTACTTTTACTACTAGAAGAGTCCTTTCTATCTAGTATATAGTCCTAATAGTATTACTCTTTAGAGATATAAGACTACTATTATCTATAGCCGCTCTTAAAAAGATTAAACTCTATTTTGTAATAAAGCTCTAAACTATTAATAAGAACTGTTTACTTATAAGTAGAATTAAGGTCTTTGTTATCCTATAAGGTAGAGAGGTAAGGGTATACGCTAGTAAGATCTCTCTAAGGTACAATAACTAGGTAAGACGTTTCTAGTAGTACCCTGTCTACTCCTAGTTCTACTATACTATAGCCTAGGCTATAGAACTAACCCTATACTTAGGGTATAGAAGAAGGAAGCTATAGAGGTATTTAAAGCTTATTAGGTAGGCTTAGATAGCTTAGAAGTAACTATCCTTTTTAATAGATTAGAATAATATATTAATAAAGTTAAATATATTAAGTATAGCTATATAGTATACTAAAATAAGAGGTAGATTACTAAAGGCTATAGAGCTATTAACTCCTTCTTTTATATCTTTAACGTAAAGGTGATAAGAGTATAGTAAGGGCTTAAGAAAGTTATATTTATATCCTTAGAGCTCTTCTCTAGGAAAATTACCCTTTATATTAATAGTATATCTATAATAGAGTATATATAAGGCAATACCTCTTTTATATTATAATAGGCCTTCCTTAACCTATAAGTAGGTATAGCTAAACTTAAAGTATAAGTTAGATAGTCTCTTAGGTATATAGGTATTAAGGGTAATAAGGTAGTAAATAAACTTATAGATAAAAGAGCTAAATAGACCTAGGATATAAGACTTACCGGGTCGCTAACTATTAGTAGAATTCGCTTAATTTATAGAGAGCTATAGTAAAAGGCGAGAGTAGAGTAGTAGAACTACTACTTACCTAAGCTTTCTAAATAATATAAGAACTTTAATATAACCTATATAATTTAAAACCTTTTACATCTAGAACTTTTATAAGACTACCTTTACTATATACTTACTATTAGATTATACTATAGGAACTTTACCTAGTACTATAGGAAATTTAACTATAGTACTAACCTTCTTTACTCCTATAGGTGTGACGGTTCTAACCGTCACCACCATTCGGATCACGTGGTCTCGCTTAGCGACCCACACCAAGTATTTAGATCGAAGCTCTCTCGAGCTCTCCTCTTCTCCTCAGCTTAGAATCTTTGTTTAATTGACAGTTCTACGATTCCACAACCTACACCGTGGGCCTTGCGTACGTGTCGTCACAATAGGCGGAAAAAGACCCTAGACTACCTAGTCTACTACTATAAGATAATATACTACTATACTCGGTAGCTACTAAACCCCCGGCCTCTATCTCTTAATAAAGTAGAAGGCCTCGACTATCTCTCGTACCTTATAGTAGTTCCTAAGAAATTCGCTGGATTTCTTAAGATAATAGAGTTCTACTCTAAAATCTATCCTTATTAAAGAATAGGTAGTACCCCTATATAAGGTACCTATTCTAATAACTTCTCTTATAAAATCGGGCTTAGGGGATATCTTTTCTTTAGCAAACGGGGGACGTAACCTAATTTTTCTTCTTCTAGGTATTAGAGACTTAATATATAAAAGTATAAAAACATTTCCTTTATTATTACCCTTAGGGCTCTAACTTAGGTACTACCGTATAGCTATATACGATACGGCGGGATAGCTAAAAGTTTCTTATAAGAGAACTAACCCTTCCTAGGGAAATCCTACTTAAACTTCTAGTACTTATTCTAACCGGCGTAGAAGAGTTATAATTAATAGGCTTTAAGGCTATAGCCTCGCGTATATAATACTTTCTCCGGTAGCTATAATTAGGTACCCTTTTATATATAATTCCGTAGCTTACCACGCCCTTATACCCTTCAAGGGGTTATAGAAGACCCGGCTTTCGCTAGTAATCCGCCCGGCGTAAAATTACTACTACTACTACTACTACTACTACTACTACTACTACTACTACTACTACTACCTAGACTTATATTTTTATATAATGTTTAGCGTCTAGTATCTAGACCTTAACTCTACTACTATAGACTGTTCCTAAGGCTTAGAGATCCTTTGTAATTAAATAGACATCTAGTTACCGAGCGCTAAGTAGATTTACTTTATACCTTATCTTTATATATATCGAAAGGGGAGAAGGGGGAGTTTATCTATTATAACGTAAAAAAGTGAATCTCTTTGAGCTAAATACCCCTTCACCGTGAAATAAGGGATAGTTCTATCAGAATCGCTTAGGAAGTCGGGTAGTTCCGTTAGTAAACATTCACCCTTTTAATATATCTCCGCACCTCTTTTCAGGTGAATTAAAGCTATAGTATCCTATCATCAAGTACCATCGATCAATAATCACAGTGACTAATCAAATATGCAAAGAAAATAGCTCATTAAGCTCTCTCAGTCCTTGCCACCAAGTGCAAACCCCACCGGATTTCACACCTCTCCTTCCTACTAGCACTTTCCTCCCAAATCAGAACTCCCCAGAAATGTGACACTCGAAATATTAGATGCTTTTAAATTAGCACCAGACCACATGATTGGAAAATATAATATCGTACATGTTGGACGTGTCAACATGTTTGTGCGATTTGAGAATCCGGATCCTGTGCTTCAGAAATTCATACAAATGCTTAGTAAGTGTAACAGTCTTGTGACGACTTTCGTCTTAGGCTCTAAAAGCTGACTTACACAATATGGAACCAGGAGGATACCTTTGATGGGACGAACTAGATGTCAGTGGAATGCTCCCCAAGAATACAGATTCCTGCCTGAACACCTTTGCTATGATCACCTGCACGAAATGGGCATGGTTTGGATGGAAACCCAGGGCTGTACAACAAGGCAATTTCAAGAAATCAACATTAAAAATCTGGTGCCATTGACTAATCTCTTCTACAGATGGGTTGGTGGAATATCGAGCTGGTTTGAAAGTCACGGCCTCAAGATCCACGATTTCAGCGGCTGCCAACTCACAACCATATGGCAAGACCATGGACCGCTATGCATGTTATGGGATTCCATGACTTTATTGACAATGACGTGATCCCTTCCACTAAAGGAAACCCAGCTCTGCCCTCAGCAGAAAAATGGCGAGAGTCGTTAAAAGGTGTGGAGAGTTACACACAAAGGGGCCTGCGGCTTCTGGTTGATCATGTATACTGTGTTGGAAGCAGGCCCTTGTAACTCGTAATAGGATAATGGGCTCTGAGGTAGATGATGAGATGATTTTGGCGAAGAATTAAGATAAGATGAGATCGCTAATGAATTTTGAAATACCGTATGCGCTGTATGGATTCCCGAAAAGTGACCCAAGTGAAATTGATCCTTCCGCCTAATAGCTGACCTCAGGAAGCAAACAGAAGATACCAACCCGGGAGACTGAACTCCCGCACCGTTTGGGGTAAAATTCGACAAGGATGTAGCACCTTAAATCCCCTTCCACCAAATATTATTATTAAACAGTCGTGCATGTCCTTGACCCACTTGCCTTTGGCCCCAAAAGCTTCAAGAAGTACGACTCTTCCGATTTAGTGCGGAAAGTGCGGCACAGTTGTGGTGGTTGTAAAGCAATGCTTGATTCGCCTAAATGTTTATGCATAAGCGAAGTTGGCTTGAGGTTGGCACGTTGTTGATATCACGGCATCAAGAATGGGCTATAATATATCCACAAGCCATGCAAGAAAAGCAAGAATCAAGTCTGTCGTGTGCAAAATTTTCTGGGTCTTATATGCTATATAAACAACAATGGAACCAAACTCTCCACCAACCGAAACATCGCCAAACGAAAGAACCTCCCATCCTCAAGACTGGCGATTCTGGGCCGTTTTCCCAGGCCTATGTCTCGCATCCTTTCTCTGCGCACTAGATTCCACCATCCTCTCAACAGTCCTCCCAACCATAGTCATGGAGCTCAAACCCTCCTGGAAAACCGTCTGGATGATCAATAGTTACACCCTTACTTTCACAGCTGTTCAACCAATCTATGGACAATCCGCAGACTTGTTTGGACGGAAAATATGTATCATCACAGCAATTATTCTTTTCATCATAGGCAGCGGTATTTGTGGCGGAGCAAAGAACACTGATATGTTGATCGCTGGCCGTGCAGTCCAAGGACTTGGAGGTGGTGGTCTGAGTATCCTGCCTGCGATGGTTGTGTGCGATTTGGTGCCTTTGAGGGAGAGACAGCAGTATACTGGGATAGTCTACGGGGCGTTTGCAGTAGAGACGTTCATTGGGCCGGTTATTGGGGTGTGATGGCTGATCATATTGGTTGGCGCTGGGTGTTTTGGTTGAACCTACCCGTTGGTGGTTTGGCTCTAGGTCTGGTCGTTGCATTTCTGTGGTTGAATGTTGCTCATGCAGAAGACGAATCAACAACGGCCTGGACTTGGAAGCAAGTTGCACGAATTGACTATTTGGGTTGTCTCTTCATGATGGGTGCCGTCACGTCGATTCTCATTGCCATATCTGGTACTGGTTCGACGTCGATGGGTTCAAGGATTGATTGGAGGTCATGGGAAACGCTTGTTCCTCTTTTGCTTGGGATACTAGCACTTCCCTGTTTTCTTTTCCTCGAATCATTTTCTTCGAACCCAATGACGCCGCTTCGGTTATTCGCTTCGAGAACATCAACACTTGCATATTTTCTCACCTTTCTCCACGGTATACTCTTATACTGGGCCAGTTAATTCCTTCCAGTCTACTTCCAAGCTGTTAAGGGGGCATCTCCACAGCAATCCGGTATCAACACACTTGCAGGTGCAATCCCAATGGTCCCCTTTGGTATACTAGGTGGATTCATCATTGCCCGGACAGGACACTATCGTCTGAACCAGCTATTCGGATTTGGCCTTGCCGCACTCGCCATTGGATGTTTCAGCATCCTCGACCAACACTCCTCAACCAGCACTTGGGTCCTACTCCAGATAGTCCTCGCTATGGGCGCCGGCATCGTCCTCACAGCTCTGCTACCAGCCATCCAAGCTCCCCTCGCTGAATTCGATGTCGCCTCAGCAACAGCAACCTGGGGTCTTGTGCAGAGTCTTGGATTCCTGCGCGGAGTTGCGATGCCATCTAGTATTTTCGAGAATAGATTTCTGGCTATCATCAACCGCATTACCAACGTCAATGTACGAGACGAGCTTCGTTTAGGTGGAGCTTACGCACATGCCTCCAACGCTTATATATCGTCACTGGACAGCAGAACACAGTCAGAGGTTATCGGAATTTTTGTTGCAAGTCTGAGGTTGGTATGGGAGATTGGCGCTGGGATTGCGGTGCTGGGATTTGTGGCTTCTCTTTTTTTGAAGGAAGTAGAATTGCGAGAGACTTTGGAGACGGAATATGGATACAAAGTTAAAAGTGAACAGTTGATTCTAAAGGAAGACGGATAAGAGCTTACTAAATTTGCACTAGATAGTTATGAGCTGTTGTTATTATGTACTAGTGAATAGAGGTACTAGTGAACAGAGGTACTAGTAAGTAAAGGTCCTAGTAAACAGAAAGAATAGGATTATAGGATTTACTAGAGGGTCTTTACCAGCGGGGTTTCGCGAAAATGGTGTTCGGTTCTTCCAAGCACGGTCATATTTACCTGCAAATATACTATGTTGAAACGCGTCTAGCAAGGGGAACATCTACGACTCGTCGCAACCTTTAGATTGTTTTCGAGGTATCAGGGGTTTCCCGGTGTCTAATCTCACCTTTTCTATATTGAAAATCCTTATAACATATTTACCTTCGCTTCTCTTAATAACAGCATTCAACTTAAACATTACTAAACCAATATAATTATCTTATCTAGCTAAGAATTTACTATAAAAAGTAACCCTATAAAACAACTAAACATTATTATCCTAAGCAATATATTCTACCTCTACCTTAGAGGGGAAAGTAGAGATTTTTAGATAGTTATATAAAAGGAAAACTATTATAAGACTATTTCTAGATAATTTAAAATTATATAACTATTTTAATTAAAAACTATTTATTTTAAAGATTATTTTAGATTTTAAACTAATATAAGACTATTTAAAAGGTGTATAGTTTAGAATTTATAACTATCTAAATATAAAATAGTCTTAAGACTATTTAAAAGTATAAGCTAATGGTTTAAATTAATAATAGTTCTAATGTTAAATAGTTTTAAAACTATTTTACTTATAAATAGTCTTAGATTTATAACTATATTGTATTTTTTTAATAGTTTAATTTCTAAATAGTTGTAAGATAGTCGTAGGACGGTTCTCGGACGCTCCTGGGACGGTCCCGGGACGTAGCGGAAAAGTGCCCGCGCAGGAGCCGCATGCAGGGCGCAGAGCCGCAGCGCACGTGCCACATCACGTACTCGATACCACTCCCATGCGCTCAACCCTAACGCTATAAAAATATAAGTGTTAAATTCAGTCGATTCAGCGAAATTTGACGGGTGCGCATCAACCGCGCCTGCGCGCACCCTGCTTACGTAATCACATAGACATCAAGAGCAGGATTTAGGACGGGTTTAGGACAATCCTAGGACGCTCTCGGAACGCTCTCGGGACAGTCCTAGAACGCTTTGAATATAGGAAACTATTCTTAGCTACCTTATTAATATAACTAAATAATATTTAAAACTATCTTTATATATAAACTGCCGTCCTCCTATTACCTAGCGGTTCTTCTTTTCGAACTAGATTCTATATAAGACCCTTCGTCGAGAGTCTCTAGATAGTCTAAAAAACTCCGCTTTCCCCTCTAAGGTACTACCTTTTACTAAAAATAAATAACCTACGTATCTAAAACATCTTAGCCTTTACTGAATACTATTATTAAACTCTACTAAATTAAATTATATAAAATATCTACTTATTCCTCTATACTCTATATAAAAACCTATTAACGTAGTCCACAAGCGAGTTGGATTCCCAAGCGAGATGGATTTTTTTTCTTGGCATTTTATAAATTCTTAAATATCTCACGACACAATTAATTAAATTAATTACAGTATTCAGAATCGGAATCCTCACATATTTCTTCTCCTTTTTGACAAGTTCGTATGTTATGGCCATGTTTCCCACATAGTCCACAGCGCCGGCGAGGTACTAGACTCGGGCTCGTACAATTACTATTTTCTACTAAAACCACTTGTTCTTGCGAATCAACATTACTAAGGACCCCTAAATCTTGCGCATCTTGGAGAGTAAGTGATCCTCCTTCCTGTAATCGGCGCTTTTTCGTACGACGACGCCGACTAAGTTGATCATTTGCTGTACGAAGTGTAGCATTCTCAGCTCGTAATAAAGCTACCTCAGTGATTGCACGCTGTGCACCCTTTGCAAGCTGGTCTAGGCCATATAGAATCTGGGTCGGAGAACTATCTTGGTGTCGTACGACCTTGTTTTGTATATATGACGTCTGGGAATATGCCTCTGTTATGTTATTTGGGGTCTTTGGTTCCCAAATAGCTAGGAGGCTTGTTGAGGTAGATGGACGTGACGGAGTCCTTGGACGTATATCAAGCTGTGAAATCACAGAATCTGGGTCGTACGGCACTAAGCCAGATCCTCGAAATCCTCCTCGAATGTTTGATTCAGTCATTGTCGTACGAAAGGCAGTATAGAATGTTGATAAGAAATCCTCCTTAGAAACATATGTAATGTGGAGTCGCATTAATTTCTCAAGTTCAGCACCGTACGACCTTTTTGACGCTCGAAAACATCCTACATCGAGTGGCTGGAGTCTATGAGAGGAATGAGCTGGCATGCAAAGAGTAATAATGTTATTACTCTTACAAAAAAGCTCAAAATCGACTGAGTGGTGGCTTTCATGGCCATCAAGCACAAGCAGCCGGTGAATGCCCTTCGTACGAAGCTTTGTATGCCGATCGAAATGAAAAATCCAATCTAGGGCTCGCTCATTTGTTGTCCAGCCATTTGTAGTTACAGCAATTACCCAGTCGCGTGGTAATTGGCTGTTTTCGTACCAGGAGGAGAGGTGGTTCTTCCCCGCCAAAATGATATATGGAGGCACTACAAAGCCGTACGACCCAACACCTTGAATTACTGTTGCCCATTCCCGGTTTCCTTGCTGTACTGTACGAGGCCGAGAAAGCCTTTCGGTACTTGTAACAACCATTTCTGATGTAATTTGGCCCATACAAAACCCAGTCTCGTCAAAGTTATAAATATCCTCCTCCTGAATCCCATATTTGTCAATTATATTTCGTACGAGGCGAAACCACGCGTTATACGCGTCTGGATTTTCGCATTGGACTCTTTGATAATCAATCCTTCGATTAAAACGCGTCTTAAGTTCAGGTTGTCGTCGTACGAAGTTCGAAGTCCAGTTCTTGCCAACGCGTCCTGCACCCCGCTCCGAGAGGATACGATTCGCCATATCTTCAACACAACGTACTCGTGGGGGAAATGATCGAGAATCTAGGTCGAGAATATGTCGTACGATAACTATTTCTTCAATCTCTGTAAGTTTTCGAAATTTAGCGATAGAATCTTGTCGTGATAATATTCCATGAGTTCGATTAAGCAATGTCGTATAAGGTACTTTATAGATCCGCGCAACCTTCTTAACTTTTAAATGTGGGTTCGTACGAAGCGTATTTAACGCAAGAATCATATCAGACTCTGTCCAATGCTTAACCATTTTGTTTGTTAAGAAAAAACGCGCTCTGAATAAGTTTGTGGAGTGCCAAGAAAAATAATCCATTTCGCTTGGGAATCCAACTCGCTTGTGGACTACGTTATCCTAATCTCCTAGTATAACTAAACTAAATATCTTAGTATAAATCTATTAATAGAAATTTACTTGAAGAATTATTATAAGCTCTTCCTATACCTAAATAATTATCTCCCTTATACTAACCATTTAGTAAAACAATACTTTAAAAAATATATATAGAGTAATAACTAAAAATCTTAAATTTCACTTAATAAAAAGGCGCTTGTTATAGCTATATCCATTTTCCGCTAATCGGGGAGATTTCGGGACGTCTAAGAGGACCACTAGAGCTTAGAGAAAGTGCAATACTACTCGTATAAGGAAAGATATTAAGGTAAAGATAAGGTTTATAGAGCGATGTATTGGTATCATTCATCCCACCACCCACCAATTTCGTATGCACCAAAATTCCCAACCATTGAAAAACCACATACATAGACCATTCATACATTTACAGATTCATACATGTACACATTGAAATATTTTACATGAACGGAAAGGAAGTATTGGGCTCTACTTCATCCAACCAACACTGCGTAAAGAAAACCCTCTTTTACAGTGTCTTAGACGCCTTTCTCTTCCTTCTTCTCCTCCTCTGCTCCTCCGCTTCAGCTAATCTCCTCTCCTCCTCAATCTGCTTCTGTCTCCTCGCCTCATAAGCCGCGGCTATTCTCCTCGCCTTCTCATCCCCACTTTCTGATGTAAGTGCGGTAAATTTCGCCTTGACACCCGTAGCAGCCTCTCTAATATTAGCACCGTGTTGTCGGAACTTGGCGATTGGGGAGGTATTCTCCATCGGTGCACCAGATTGGTCGACCACCAAGGGTGCTTTTGTTTGGATGGGGACCATGCCCCACCACCTTCTGAACTGTGGTATTGTTATCAAATATGATTGGAGGTAGCCTCCAAGTCCGCTAACACAGAAGGATAGTTGGACAGCTGCAGGTAACCAAGATGTGAATGCTAAACTCATGGCTGGGAAACCGTATAGCATTGCCTTTTGAATTGGGGGGCTCAACGCTGCGGAGCTTCCTAATTCTCCGCCTTTCTGTGGTGGGAATGCTAATTAGTATGGCGTTTGAGAGAGTGTGAGTTGGGATCTTACCTTGAGGTTAGAGTATAGCAGAAAGGATGTCGCCAATGGAAGTACGAAATATGGATCAGCCAGCGTCAAGTTCTGAAACCATAAAAGACCTTCAGTTTCCAATGCTGGAACTCGTCCGTCTGATACCGCGCGGAGAGCGAAGAAGCTCCCCGATGTAGGAAATATTTGTAACATTGGTAGGAACATTTTGGATTGTTTGAATCCCGCCTCCTTCTTCACTTGGTCCACTTTTCGCTGATATTTCAACGTTGCGTCAATATCCTTGATTTTTAAGGCTGCCTTCGTCTCCTCCATCAATGGTTCGATGATAGGTTTGATATTTTGCAATCTTGCGCTGTTGTCGGCAGCGCCAATCGCAGGACTGAAGAATGCCGCTCTAATGGCAGCCGCTGTTAAAGCGATGACGGCCCACCATGGCAGCCCAGTGTAAACATGCAAATGTTCAAATACGCATAACATGGCTCCGGTTGGGCGCCAACCTGCGTATTCGATGCCAAGCGATGCGAAATATCCGATCTGGTCGGGGTGTAAGGGATTATTGGATAGTGTTTCCTCGATAGACGTAAAAAGTTCGGAGGCAGGAGTTGAAAGAGGAGTTGTAGCAGCCGCAGCCGCAGATTCTGGTGGTATAGGTGTAGAAGAGACTGCTGGCAGGGGAGTCGTCGAGGCAAATCGCATGGTTGCGCCATTTCGTATTAGAAGAGATTCCATCGACAGTTGGGTTCTGGTCGGCTGCCGACAGATTGTAAATCTAGCTTGCGAAAGGAGGGGGCTGGCTCCAATGGGAGTGGGAATGGGAATGGGCGCATTTCGTAGAGTTGTAGAAGAAAACTGAATTTGTTAGCAGCGCATCCGCAATGAATACCTAGAGTAGGCATTGGAGGTGGAGGTGGAGGTGGAGGTGGAAGCATCGTACTGGTCTTGTAGTCGAAGCTAAATTTTCTATCCGCCGTCTTCCGTTTCCTTTTCCTCCTTGCTGACACGACCAGCGGAGACCTTTGCTGGATAACATGGTAGATGGTTGAGCATTGGACCTCCCGCCAATTCCACACGGATGTCAATTCTAGATGTGGTGGTCGCGAAAGATTTGAAGCTTCAATATAGAGTACGGCCTCTACGCTACGAGTACTGCTAAATTCACCTGCGTGGGTGTTGGTCCGAGTATTTACCTATACCCCTGCGTTTACGGCGTGCTAGTTTATCCGGGTCCGATCCCTGGATTGCAGACACAGGCACTGGCACCGGCACCCACCAGACCCGTCACCGTCGTATGTAGGTATAAATACAGGTGCTCCTGCTTCCAGATCTTTGGATACTCATACACTTCCATGGTAGGTACAAAATACCAGTACTGTTGTTTGAAAATCGAAACTTTCAAATTGCCTGTTCATTTGGGCATCAAATGCCTTCTTCATTCTTCTATGCTTTTCTTGCCAGAGCTTCCACCTTTTCTCCATTCAATACACCACATATTTCATAGGTTACTAACACCTGCATCAAGTGCACCAAAGGACGATACAGCCCAACAATTTGTAGAGGGGCTTCATCTGATTGGTGAAACCAATATCATCTCTACATCCCCTCGAACGCCGTTTTATATGCAGCCGCAGTATTGCATCCACCATTCATTCCATGCTGGTAAGATCCTCCAATTGACCATCTCTCCTTCTCGACTCGAATGGATTTTCCCGAACTTCAATTCCTGGTCCTACAAAGTGTGCGCTTCGTCCGGATGGAAATACCTAGATGCAAGTGTTAGCATATGCAACTTCAACTAACAAATCGAATGCGAGTATTCTGAAAAAACCATCCCGCATGAGAACCAGTCCTGTTGAGAACAACGGACATGTCCAAGTGCCCCTTGGTACCCTCCAAGTCATAGAAGATTAAGTATATACCTTGGTTCCTCCCCACCCAAGTCTAAAAGCTGCTTCATGTGCAAATAACTCCCCAAATCCCAACATAAGACCATTGACGAACGGCAGGAAAAGGTTGATGGCCGCCCCGCGTACGAGTCCCCAGAATGTAGGAGGTGTATAGAGAATCATCGGAGAGCTAGACGACGGCGGCGGAGATGGTGATAATTCGTCATTGGCAGAATATTGTTCCGAGTCCGAGGGAATGGTCAATGACGATTCCGTCATGGATTGGACTTTTTCGGAAGACATGATGACCCTATTCGTACGCCGAAGAGGTGCAACCAGTAACGGCGAGATAGTTCCGTAGAGGGACTGTAATCGATTTTGACCTTGGTGTTGATATTGATGTTGATGCTTTTGGTGCTAGGACGCAAATGTTCCAAGAGCCCATTTCAAGGCGAGCTCCAGGGCTGGCTTGCTGGCAAGCTGCAGGTGCTGGCAAGGCTACGTAAGGCCACAAGGCCACAAGGCCACAAGGCTACAAGTACTTTGCCTTCACCCCATTGGTGGTAGCCACTTTACTAGTGCGGGGTTGGGCGGCGCGGCTTGTTAGGGAGCTCACCTTCACCTAAGCTAGGTATTTGGTAGTTGGGTAGTTAGGTAGCAGCAGCGGGACCTTTAGCTATCCATCTACACCTACATAAATCTGTCCGCCTCCCTACAATACAAAAAATTCCTTCCACTCAACATTTCCATTTTTGTCTTCTTCAACTTTTGATCTTCCGTCACGCAAGACACAATCATGGCGGACAGTGCTCATCACGATGAGCTAATCAACCAGCTCTGTGAACTCACAGGAGCTTCACCAGCTGATGTATGTTGAAGTTGATGCTCTTCCAGTACTTTTTGCCGTCGTCTGTTCAATACTGATACCCTTCCTTTTAGGCACAACAATACCTGGTCGCAAACCAATGGGATCTGTCTGGCGCTGCGACCGAATATTACCAATCACAAGAGGAAGGCATACAAACCGCCCAAGGTGGCCGAGATGACCCCCAGGAAGCAGAAGCATATACTGGCCCACGAACACTAGATGGCCGACCAGCTCCTGCAGCCATCCCAAGTGTAGCCCCAACCTCAAGATCTGCCGCCCCACCAAATCGGGGGAAGTTTGCTACCTTGGATTCTCTCAATCAAGGCGGAGCAGGTGCTGGTCACGGTCATGGCCATGCTCACGATGATGATGATGACTCTGATGATGAGGATTATGAGAATGAGCAACCACGGGATCTGTTCACTGGAGGCGAAAAGTCTGGTTTGGCTGTTCAGGATCCATCAAACAAACAGAACAACCCATCCAAGCTTGTAAATGATATCTTGAAGAAGGCTAGAGCGTAAGTTAATTGTGATTAAACCGCTCAAGATCAAACACTAATGTATCATAGGAACGCAGCAGGAGGAGGTGGCGAACCATCATCAGCCCCATCTTCCTCTCGTTTCCGCGGATCAGGTCAAACTCTCGGTGGCGACGATACCCCCTCCCAAATCATCCCAGACCCCAATCCACGAGTTCCCGAAGTAGAAGCTCAAGCTCGATCCCTACACTTATGGCAAGATGGATTCAGCGTTGGTGACGGTCCACTCTACCGATTCGACGACCCTGCAAACGCATCCTATCTCCAAAAGATCCGTAACGGCCAAGCACCTACCGATTTAATGGACGTTTCCATAAATCAACCCGTCAATATCACCCTTATCAACCACGATGAGAATTACAAGCCTCCTCCCAAGGTCTACAAGCCATTCTCTGGGGGTGGTCATAGATTGGGAAGTCCTACCCCTGGTGCCTCTTCCGCAGCGACCTCTTCTATCACCCCAGTAGCTGCCCCCTCCGCCGCAACTTCAACCCCAGCACCCGCAGATGACGCTTCACAAGGAAGTCTTCGAATCAATGTACGACTTGCTCAAGGTCAAATGTTGCGAGCACGATTCAATCCTACTGATACCATTGGAGATATCTACGATTTCATCGCAAGAGCTCCTTCAGATGATGCTTCCAGAGCATGGGTGTTGAGTACCACGATGCCAAATGTCAATCATACCGATAAGACCCTTCAATTGGGCGATGTAGATGCCTTCAAGCGGGGAGGAGTTGCGATCCAGAAGTGGGTATGAAAGGGTTACAGGGTAGGGGATTGGGGGAAACGATGGAAGGATGGATAGGCAATACGTATAGTATCTTCACAAGCATATTCATGAAAATGGAAAATTCATTGGGCCTTTTTTTTCTTTCTTGGCTCTGGCGTTTATGGATAGGGAGCTACAGTAGCAGAGGAGAGCCGATTTGCATTTTCTAATTGATGGATGATGGATGGATGGATGGGAACGTGCTGGGTTAGCTAGGTTACGTTAACTGCTTGATAGATGGCCATAGATGAGAGCACAAATATGAATTGAGATGTACCTAGGTGAATGGATTCTAAGTGCTGAGTATCAGGAAACTATCTTGAGACTTGTTTGTGATAATGTGAAGGGGGTTGAGACAGGAGGTGTGAGATGAGAAGTGTGAGATGTGAAGCTGCTTTATTCACTGCCAGTTGTTTTAAGTGAATTTGGTAATAAGAAGAGTGAATCCAGTAGCAAGAAGAAGAGTTGAACCAGATCTTAGTTTTACCCTCAAGGATTAGGACCCATAAGTGTGTATATGTGTATATATGTACTGTACATATGTATGTATGTATGTATGTATGAATTTATGTATGTATGTGTATGTACGTCTATTTTAATTTTAATTTTCACCTTCCTATGTACTGTGTATGTATGCATCTATGTTTTGTAACCCTCCACCCCCTCTCACCCTTCAAGCCCTCTCTCTCCCATCCACCTGACCCAGAACAATAGCTTTTCACCTTCACCCCCCAATAATCTCTGGACCAGCCAGTCCAGAATACGTGGTGTACGTACCACTTCTTGAGATCCAAAAAAGGAATAGGGTCCAAAGAAGTCAAAAAAATATTCTATCTCTCATCCCCCCCAAAAAACGCCTTCCCTGTGCACGTACTGTGCTAAATACAGTGGTCCCATAAACGCCTCCCCAGTAATCTTTTGTACAAGAAATGAACTACTGTACTAGGGTTTAGTAGCATCCTTGGGTGCAGGATTGACGCCCTCCTGGAAGAAACTTCGACGTCCCTCAGTCCTGCCCCTCGCGCTCTCATTCGTCCCATCCCCTAGCTTCTCACCAATCCGACTATCCTTTCGACTCCGACTTCGCTCCCTCTTGAACGCACTTGGGCTAACACTCCTCGAGAAACCACTCCCTCTTCGAGGTGGGGCTGCAATACTATGTCTCCTATCAAACATGCCTCTCTCCCCAGAACGATTAGGGATAGTGGGCCCGGGATGGAAAACTGTACTGAAAATGTTTTGTGACCCCTGTCCGGATCGTCTTTCCTTGGTATTCGTTCTCGAGAGCTTCGAATTCGCTGTGTTGCTACGAGTCATCCCCGTGATATCGTCGCGTCCGACCGCTTCCTTCGCCGCGAGTTTTTCACTGGGTAACAGGACGGCACGATCAAGTTCGTATGGTAGACCACGGTGACGACCACGGATTTGCATTGCGATGATGACTAGTTTGGCGATGACGCCAAATTCGGCCGAAAAGGAAGCGTTGATGCCTGTGTATCCTAAGGACAGACCAACGGTACCGTATGCACTGACGATCTCGAATAGGACGGAGAACATGGTAAAGGATGAATCCTTAATATCCTGGATGCGAGGGCCTTCTGAGATGGAGATGATGAAGAATCCCAAGAAAATATACCATAAATCGAAGGACAATTGTCTTCTCAAATGAGTACCAATGTAAGAAGGTTCGGAATCCTCAATCTCCTCAGCCGTGGAGCCATAGATACCCAATGAATCTTCCTCATACACGTTGGTTCTTCGGACGGTCATGGCGATAGGCATGACGGAAATATACATCATGACAAGATACGAAACCTGAATAGCCGGATGAAGCTCGGCAAGATTAATCACTGCGAAACCAGCAGTACGTGTCGAAGCTGCTTGGAACCAACCGTCCAAAAATCTGATATTAAGAGGCAAGTGAGTAACGGCAGGGTTGCCCAGCTATTGAGCATTAGTGACGATACAAGTCGAGCTGTAGCAATGACTTACATCAAGAATCAAGAAGGCCACCAGATCGGCTCCGTTCAGGATCATCAAAATCCAGAACAACCACCAAGTGGCCTTGGACGGGAAAAGCAGTGTGAAGCACCGACGAGGATGATCAAGCAAAAACTTGAGCTCTTGGTAAATACCACTGGTCTTCGAGACAAACAGCGAGGTAACATAAATGATAATCCGAAGCATGATAGGGAATCCAGTATTCCCAATAATGATCAAAAAACTCATCAGGAGCAGTGGCCAAATGGCAAACTGAAAGGAGATCATGCTATCTGGGGTGAGTGTGAAACCAAGATCGGTAAAGGCTGAGTTCGCAGTGAAGAATCCCCACCAAACTCTGCCTTGTCCAGCGGCGTCAACAACTGGCCCCCAGGTAGCGCTTTCCACAATCCAGGGCAAAAGACCCACCAGGCCCAATAAACTGAATCCCCAAAAGTAGCATGTCAAGATCATAGCAAGAGATTTGAGCGAACGGTATTCAATGCCTCCTAATTCCTCCCTTTGGTCCTCGGTAAGATCGACGAAGAGTGAGTTGCGTCCAACGGTAGGTGCCCAACTCAAATATGGCATCGGTTCGTCTTTGGATTGCGTCAATGCGTGTCTAATTGCTTGAAAGGTGCCTGTCCTTGTAACAGGATTTATGGTTTCATCATCATCTCTTATGGTTTTGGCCGTAGATAGTTTTGGTCTGCGCATTCTAAGAGCACCACCAGCAGCATTCTTAGCGGCAGTAGCATCTTCTGCTAGATGCTCGGCTGTCGAAGGCTTATTCGGTTCTTCAATTGTGATGTTGCGAGGCCTCGCTGAGTCGTCGAAAGTTATGTGGTCATCTCTATCAAGGACTGCCGTATGCTCACTCTTCGAATCCCCAGACAAAGTTTGACAAATCTCGTCCTCTCCCTCGGAATGATCAACCGCCTGTGGAGCAATACCAGCATCAGCATCTCGAGGCCCGGGAATCCGAAGAACTGCTCCATCGTCTTGTTTACGTTGTCGTTCAAGAATTGCAATATGCTCTTCGTGGGCCCGCCGTGGAGGCCTACGAAGTTCTGGATCGTCGGCAAACTTGATCTGAGTCTGACCTCGATCGATTGCTCCGGGTGATTTCGAGCGGTTCGCGGATCCTGTGCCTGATTCTTGTCGTTTGGTGCGCTCCGACGACTCGCCAGATGAGCGTCCTCCTTTTTCCTCCTCCAAAATTCTTAGCTTTTCAATGTGATGAGCTAAGTCCCCAGCGGAGGCGTTTTCATCCGTCATGCCATTCGGAACGGTAGTGTTGTGCAGAACCACAATACTCCTACCGCCCACACCCATCTCCTCTTTATCAATATCTTGCTCATTTCCCTTGCTTTTGGTAATCGTCTTGGACATGTACCGTCTGGTTTTGGTAGCTTCTTTGGCAATATGTTGGAAGCGTTTCTCAAACCAGTATAATCGTAGGAAAACGACGAAGGAGTTGACGGTGATTGGATTCGTCAACATGGGTGTGAGGTATAGCACCACCTGCTGCCAAGTATTAAGGCGGTTGATATCCACGGTATTAAGACCACTCTGTGTGGCAGATCCACTCGCTAGGAAGAGGGCATCGATGTATCTGAGATTCCCATTTGGGTAAAGGCATATCGAGGCAAGTATTGCATTACCGATGATCCAGAAGTCTGCAGACAGCCTATTAGCTTGGAGAAAACACCACGTTGGGCCAGCAGCGGCTTACAATGGGCAGTAATGAAGTTAAAATGGGGACTTTTGGACAAGAACGAGGGCTTCAATGCCGCAATGTGATGCCACACGTCGTGGATGATGGGAAACATGGCGGGTATTTGCTAGACTGTCACAACGGCTTTGTCCTGGATCGTCGATAGTGTTGCTGCGTTGCCAAATGTGGTTTCCCAACCCTACCTGGAGAGGCAACGGCTGGCAGGTTCCTCTCGCAGAGAAGAAAAGGTGCGAAGCGGACCTTAACTGTCGCTGACAGCACTCAAAGTTTGTGGTTGTATGAAAGACATGCTCGAGATGGCAACCGATACTTGTTGTTGTTGTTGTTCAGTAGGGAATTGCGCTGTCCAGGATGTCGCTTGTGATTCGCAGACTCAGGGGAAATTAGAGGTTATTTGAGTAGGATTGCCCAGAGGAGGCGAGCGATTTCAGATCGCAGAGAGTAGATAGGGGGGGTGAATTGACTGCAGCAGAGGTGAGATTGAGTGAGAGTCGCTGCCGTCGAGAATATTCACGACACACTGAGTGGAAGATCAGATTGTTGGTATTGGTGAAGGCGCAGCGGCGTCCAAGAGCAGCGGCGTCCAAGAGCCGCGGCTTGACTTGTTCTTCTTGTCTTCTCGTGGTGGCGTGGCGTAAGGAGCTGAGAAAGCTTACACAGTGCTCGTACTTCGTAGAAGGGAACAAGAAACAAGAAACAAGAAACAAGAAACAAGAAACAAAACAACCGAGCGGGGCAAAGAGAGTGAGTTCGAGTTGGTGACAGTCTGAAATGAGAAAAGGGAAAGTACGACTACAAATATCCAATAAACACACACAGACACCACAACCACAGAAGGAGCGACCGATAGCAGCATGCATGAACCACTATGCATTATTGGCCCAGGCTCCGTACTGTATGTACTCAAAGTAAAAGTACCCCCGTGGACCAGGGGGAAAGAGACCATCGCTGCCAAGGCCTAAACCCCCCCCAGCAGCTCCCTCCCTGTCCCTGTACAGTAACTGATCCCCTGGCGATGGCCCCAGCCAAATGTCCCAGCGCGCGTCATCGCGGCAGTAGATAAGAAAAGCGGCGTTGGCAAGCCCTCGCCCACCCGAAAAAGCGGACGCAACATCAGTATATTTTTCGTGCTATTTTCTCCGGCTCTCTTTCTCTTACACACGAATACGGTCCAATCAATCTCTTACACACGAATACGGTCCAATCAATCCAGTTGTGTCCTTGGCAAGAATTTTTATACACCAGCTATATCAAGTATTGAAACTCGACCTTAGGTCTACTGTAGGGGAGTACTCGTACGTAGAGTACTGCTAGAAGAGATGAGCGGTACTCGAGTAGACATACTATACAAAATATCTCTACCTCGTACTTCTACATGTCCACCAATACCGGTATCTGTCTCAACCGCCTCACAGCCTCACCTTACAACCCGCGTATAGGGTAGATTACTACCTACCTATACAGGTACCGAGTAAGGAACTTACTGTACTTCGTATATTTACCTTAGGTTCCGTACAATCTTTCTTTGAAGTAGATTCATAAGAGAAAGCGTGAAGCTATTCCGAGTAGACTTTCGCAAACACACATCCAATGACGACCAGAGCTCACTACGCTTTCACTTTCACTTTGACCGTGCAGGTGTTGATTATTGATCATTAACGTATGGATAGGTAATTTCTACCAGTATCATGTAAATACGGGACTCTGCTTAGCTATTTTGAAAGCTTGAAGACGTAAACTTACTATAGAACTATACCTGGGTACCATATCATCCAGACACATCCACGACAGATAGGCATCTCAGAAATTCTTATCTCTCGACCGCAGTGCTATGCAATGCAGGGTCAGCTCTTCTACCTGCATTGAGCCGACTACTCTATCCACTCCGGTAGTTGTAGTCGTAGTAGGCTTGTCAGCTCAGCTTACTTCTACTTACCTAGCCCGAATCCAATTTCTGACGAACTATGACGGTGTTCTGTTTGGTAACACCAAAATTAGAGATGCTTTTATTGTATGTATGGCAAGTTGAAGTACGGTGTGAGATAGCTACCTAGGCTAGAACCAGCAGTCACCCATCCAATCTCTCAGTCATTCATACCAGTGTACCATCCCCGAATCTACAGTACTGTAGAGCCTAGCCCATCCACATCTGACTCGGATAAAACCTCCCTTCCATTAATACTTCTATCATCCCCAAAACATCGACATTCAACCCTACCGAGTACCCACGAGCTCACCGCCGCTGGGTATTTCTAACCACCCCTTTCACACGACCAACCCGGCAAAGTTCAAACCTTTCGCCACATCCCTTTCCGACCTGTCAACATGAGGAAAAGTTGCGCAATCTCCTTTTCTTGGGTCAGAAACGGTCAGGTGGCCCCCGTCACCAACACCCACCTGGGCAACGTTAACGTTCACAAAAAAAAAAAGCCGCATGTTTCAAGAAAGGTCTGAAAATAGCGTCAGTCATAGCAGTACAATCCAGTACGCCTGTTTAATTTCCTTGTTACATGTTACAACCAAATGGGTATTCGCCGCTAAAACTTCCATCCGGTGCCGTTGTCCCATTCCTTGGTATCTCTTCTGTTTTTAATATATCCCCATCTACAGCCTACAGACCTACCCATAGCTCATCCGTTCCCTTGCCTTCCAATGATCCCATCCTCCAAGAAAAAAGGTATTACCGAGTTGAACTTTGAACGTCTCATGGCTTTAACGTGCCGTACCAAAATTGATCATGCCGCACCGTGATTCGTGTTAAAGTTGGCCACGGTGTCTGGTCTCCCAACATTCAGCTGTATATCGTGTCCACTCTCGTCGTCCTCGCTGGCGCTGTACTCATCATCCGACATCAGCACATCCTCCAATCGTCGACTCCTCAATCTCGGGTCAAGGTTGCCTATCTCCCTCGCGAGACCTCTGACCCCCGCCACGACAACATCGACTCTCTCCCAAGAAACCAGGCCTGGTAAACCAACAGCTCTTTGTGTAAACACGACGTTGTGTTTCCTCGTGGCCCACGCGGGACAGGTGTAACGATCCGGATCGGAACCATCGACTCGAAAGACGGTAATGGCAACTCTGGTTCGTGGACCGGGTGGTTTCTTTGACATCGCTTGAATTTCTTTCGCGGCAGCTGCCCAAAATCGCGCGCCTGCTTCAATTCCCGGAAGCCAGGCGAGAGAAGTAACATCGATGATTTCAGTAGGACTTAGGCTGTGATTTGGGCTGATTTTCCTCAGGCCAGAGCAAAACACAGCTAGTAAGCCAACAGGAGAATCACAAAGGGCATAGGATAATGTGGTCGGCTCTCGTAGACCCAGTACACCCACAGTCTCAAGACTCTTGTTCTTTTTCCCACTCAACAACGGTGATTCCTCGTTAACCTGATCCTTCTTCGTCGTATCTTTTGATTTGTTGCGTAATAAATTCATCGCCCTCCAATCCTCCTTGACATACCCAAAGACAGCCGCCTTCAAAAACCTCGCAACACGAAACTTAACCCAACTCATCCCCTCTCCCACCCGCGGGCTCTGCACCTCCGGCTCCAACAAACTAACCCCCAGACAACTCCCCGGAAACCTCTCCCCAATAAGTCGAGGCAAATGGTAATCAACGCCCACCGCGCTCTCCCTTCCACTCCCCGTCGCGCTCGCGAGATAGAAATCGTATTTCAGTCGAAGCATTATGCTATTGAGTATCATTGCTGTATATTCCAGGACGGTTCCCTCGGCCTCGGGTGTTTGGAGGGGGTCGCTGAAGCCGAGACCGGGGATGGAGGGCACGACTAGGTGGAATGGTTGGGTACTTGTCGGGCTTGCGGGGTCGGAGAGGGGTGCGAAGAGCGGAATGAGGGAGAGATTTGTGAGGGGAGAGCTGGGGATTAGAAGGAGAGGAATAGCGTGGCGGTGCCGCGAGCGGATATGAACGAAGTGAATTCGAAGTGGGGGACTGGTGCTGGGTGGTGGAAGACGGAAGGCGATGCGATATTGGGGGAGGGAGTTGTTGAGGTGAGCTTCTTGAGTACGCCAGGAGTAGTTTTCGAGCCTGTGTTAATGCGATTAGTTGATGTTCCAGTGTAGTTGTTCTGCGTACGCATAGCTTGCTCGGGGGGGGGGGTTGGTTTAGTGTCCAGAACGAAGGATTCAAAGCCGTTTCCCAGTTGATCCAACCTCTGAGCAACACTTTCTTGCCCCAGGAAGTCCGACACAATCCGTCCATTGATCCAACAGGAAAACTCACCAAAAATCAATCAAAGGCTCAATCTCATTCTTCGGCGCACCCAGTTCCCATTCCCTCTCCTTGGGCAACGCAACCTCATGCGGTAAGCGGGTCAACTCCAATTTCTTCTGTGTAAGAGAAAGGTATTTACTCGAGACCTAACAATCCATCAGCACGCCATCATTCCATTTCCTCCCTAAAATCCTCATATTAGGAAAGAAATACATACGTGTATCTTGTAAGGCTGGATCTCCTCCTCGAAATTCGGATTCCTCTGATCGCCTTCCATCGCGGGATTGCTTGTCGCCTCTTGCATATCCATGGGTATATGGGATCGAGACGGGAGACTCAAAGTTGAGTAGAGCGAAATATTTTCTTTGGAATATAGTGAATGCAGTAAAGAAGAGCGGAGATGTCTCCGTATCAAATTTATCATCCGAATTTTGGCAGCCGCTCTCCACCAAACCTACGATTCCGCAAAGAAAAAGAATGACTTCAAAATCGGCGGGGCCTTGTTAAAACAAACGTCAGAATCAAAGAATCGGCTTTTCGCATTCGTCATCAGCACGGTATCCTCGCACGCAAAAAAGGGAAAAAAGGAAGAAGCAGAAAAAGAAATTCATCGCGTGGAAAGTCCGTGAGCAAGCAGCAGATCGCTGGATTCTTATCCACTCGATGGGGCTTCCCGTCCCGAGGTCCATTGGTTCATCTCATCTCACGCGCAGATGTGGCGTCGCTACTGCGATTGGATGGATGCCATAGGAACTGGTGATGATCTTCATGCTCTGACATGGAAGGTAGGCACAGCCACAGGCTCATTTCTGGAACAAATCTCGGTGGCTAGTGAAGAAAAAAGCGGGATGTGGAAATGTGGAAGAGGAAGGGATTTGCAGTGGTTTTTGGTCAGAGGGTGAAGAGGTGTGGCGTTGTGGCTGGTGCCTGGTTTTGGGGAGGTTGTGCTCCGCAGAGATGTGATGTTCCGCATTTTCAATTGGAAGGAGGGATTCTTGTCTCGATACTCGATACTTGAGTAACGTACTCTACAGAGAGCAGAGATCTAGATTTCTCGTGGCGAGTTTATGTGAGTTGTTTTTACGCACTCATTAAAAGTCTTTGGAAAGATGGGACGGACGAGGTTTACGAAAACCTTCAACATGCGAAGGATTGTTGGGTTTTTCCAAACTGTGGTTATCATCCCTTCATTCTGGTTCTACAATAGAAATAACAAGTATTCACAACGAAGATAACAATCCAACCGATGATTCCACTTCAAACCTCAAGTGATTACAAGCATGAAGTCCATTCTAAACCCTAACTCAAAGCAAACAGAGCTCTTACCTACCGAGCTAAGAATACAAGCTAGTACCTAATATTTCTTCACTTTCCAAACTTGTAAGAAAAGAATCCCATTCTTTATTTCCAACCCTCTTTTAATGTCGTCCTTCACATTATTACAGAAGTTTAATGGAACAACATCGGCCCGAGAACATACGGAACGCCACACTCGCAAGACAATAAACCTCCACCTTTGACCACACAATTTATACCCACTTTAGAACCATCAAATTAGAATCCACGGAAGAAGCTCCGGTTGCATAGTGGTTATTGCGTGAGATTGCAGTGTTGCAACTTATCTCAAGGTCACCTGTTCGAATCAGGTTCGGAGCTGCTGATTACTTGAGCTTTTTTGCTGGACTACCTTTTTGGTTTGTTCTTACTCATTTGGTTCGTTTTGACTTTTTTGCTCTTTGCTTTATGATCGGCGAGTATTCAGTGATTAGCAAGCGGTAGCATATCTAATTGCTGTTGTTCAACTTGAAGGCAATGATTAGTAGGTTATCTGTTTATAGGTTTTAAGCTTCATGGAGTAAACATTGTTTTATGTTAAAGTTGTGGTCATGGAAGTTAGTATACTGGTCGAACTAGCTAGCCCAGCTAAGAGAGTCTGTGACTCAACGTACGACATACATATGCTAGCACTTGGGTCGCTATTACATGCCAGCGTATTCGCCCATATGAGCTCTGTTTGACAGTTTGGATATTATTTTGGTAAGCATTCTGATTCTTAACAACTAGGATTCAAAGGTGGTTTCTTTTTTGGGAGGGGGAAGGAAGTGGGGGAAGGAAGTGGGGGTAGGAGGGGGGTAAGAGACATTGGCGAGTTACTGTGTGCTCGGGGATTTCCGCCTCTGGAATTCTAGGTTGTCGGTTTGTAGCTTTGAGGGGAATTCATAAATAATAAGCACAGAACAAAAATACCGAAGAACTACAAAGGCAAAAAATGAAGTCAGTCTTGAGTTCATCAACACTATTTCTATAATTTTTTCTTGTGTCTATCGTACACAATCTGGTTCAATACAAAGTGCGCGGAAATTCAGTCCGTCTCCGAGGTTCTAGTCCAACAGCCACTACAGCAGCAGTCCAGCTACTAGACACTAAGAATTTCAGCGCGGTACAGCCTTGCATACTGGACAGTTGTTAAACTCACTGTCACTCTAAAAGTTTTCCCTTCTTTCTCTTTCTCTTCCTCTCCTTCTCTTCTAGGTCCAACCATGAAATCTGTTCTCACCAGATTCTCGCTTACTTGTTACATCTAACTCACATCTCTCCTTTTTTGGGATTGAAACGAATTCCAGTAAACATGAGTTCTAAAAGTTCAAAACCTACCACACCTGTCGAACCTGCAAAAGCTCCTCGACCTCTGAGGACGTCGGGCGAGATTTTGGCGGAAGCCCGCAAGCTTCGGCAGAGAGCTGATACTTTGAGATGGAGGCTTGCTATTGAATTTGGAGATATACCAGAGGCTGTTCTCCCGCCGGCTCCTGGTTCTTCTTCTGCTGCAACTCCGGCGGCAACAGCATCTTCTTCAGGGACACCGTCTTCTTCTTCAGCAGCGGCATCTCCAGCGGATCCATTTTCTTTCACAACATCCCGTCCAAAGCTATTCTCCTTGTCAGACATAACCCCCGATGTCCCCCTCCACCCACGCACCAACATGCCTCTCACACCCTTCACCCCCAACCCTCCGGAAGTTCTCATCCCCTTCCACCTCATGGACGACACCATCTATCACCGTCCACCAATCTCACACGTCCCCGCCATCGAACCCTTGAACGCCAGAACATTAATTGGCGGTTCACCAGACTGCTGGACCAGACGGCTCTCAGGACTGCTTCAGCAAAATCATTTTCTCGATTTCACCGAAAACACTGCGCATTACCGCATGGATTCAGGGATGGGAAAGGGAGAAGAAGAAAAGGGTAAGGAGGGTGATTGTGATGGTGAGAGGTGGGTGGTTAGATTTGAGGCGAACGGGCTAAAGACGGGGAATGGGTACTTGGAGACTTACTTGAGGGTTACTTGGTCGGGAGAGACGGAGAAAGAGGCGAGGGAGATGGCTGCGAAGGGGTTTTTGCATTGTTGTATGGAGGGGTGGGAGAGAATGCGGAGGATTTGAGTGTTAAGGAGTTGGGGATTTTCTGGATTTTCTTCTTTGCAAAAGTTTACCAGGGAGGTCGTCTTTTTGTTTTTGTTGTGCATTGATTCTTTGGTCTAAATTTGGGAATGTTACTGCGAGAGAGTAGAAATACATAAATCTCCTATTGTTGATCAATAAATGAGTTTGCTTCTCCTTCGTGAGGATATCATTGGAAACATAATCTTTAGAAGTAATTGTTATAAGATGAATGAATTTCTGTTTCTAGCAAATATCGAACCCTACAGCTACTATGATTTGGTATATATATACAATAGTGTATTATGTTAAAGCTGTATATTTATTTCAGTAGTAATCGGACGCACGCGTTATACAAAAAGTACAGTACTATCTAATGACCAGAAAAGAGGTTAGAGACCCGTTCATTACTCTGTGTACACTATGAAAAGTCATTATACCAAACGTCTAGCACAAGTAATTCAATTCTCTTCATGTACGTATATTCATAAAATTTAAAAGGTACTAATTGTTCCTAATCTTTCACATAACTTTTTTAGTTGTGCGTGGTTGTTAAGCTAGTATTCTTCTAAACAAGGTAATAATCACGTCTCTTAAACACTGTTTTCTACTTTTACTACCGCTATAAACCTCTACTTCTCCTTTAAAGCTATTTCATTTACACCAAGAAGGAAAGGATATTAGTACCTAGTATTTAAGGCTAAAAAATCTTTGGTTAGATAAGAAAGACCAAATAGCTAATTTAGGTTCCTCTCACACTTCAAATAGGGGTATAGTAAGAGGGGACTTGGACTGATACATTTAGCTAACGTTGTAAGATAAATATTAGTATGCGAGGTAGTCCGTTAGAGTCTTCATTTATATAGGTTGATGTCTTATACGCAAATAATAGTTTATGTACTAATTAAAGCAGTACCTTGATTAAAAGAGTTTACATAAGACACTTGTAATCTTCATATAGTACAGGTAAGAATAAATAAGCCTACAATTGTAACTAGGAGACGGCAATTCCAAATACATATACAGTCAATCTTATTCTGTTTAAATGTCACGAATCACGTGTTAGCATGTGACGAGTGAAGACCAGGCGGCGTCCTGACAGGTTAAGCACTATCATGCTCTTATAGCGAATAGGGATCGGCTAGACTAGCTAAGCGATCCAAGGATTTCATTATAGTCACGTGATGGATCTTTGGATCTGGATGGATCTTGGGGATCCTAGGATCCAACCAGATCCATGAAGCAGGAAGGTTCTATATAACACTGGCATGTCTGCCATTAGATAGGAGCTTCGTGCTCAACTTAGTTATCAACTTAGTTATCAATCTTATCATATTTTGATACAAGTAACGAGTTCACTTCCAAGTGAACAACCCGATAGTCTTCTTCTTATCATAGCATACCAACCAGCGAACACCCAGCCAAGTTTAGTTAGCCAGTTTGAGTATTCGTTACATTAAAATCCAGAAAGAAAAGTCTGAATTACAAGATGGAGTTCTCTACTTTGTGTTAGGGTTAATTTAGGGCACTCTGTGAGGATAATAAGCCTTAAGTCATATACCAACCATCGTCGCGAGGCTAAAGAAGGCAGATTGCCACATTCCCTTCCGATCTTGAGTAACTATCTTGGAAGAATATTTTCCGTCGCCTGACGTTCAGATACTTATATCCTACGTTATAGTACTTTCGCCGTGGCACTCATATGGTAATCGCATTAGCTTGGTGGCTAAAAGATCGTCAAATTGAAAGTTCTACCAGAGACGAGTATTGGCAGTGCTGTGGCTTCCCATATTGTTCCTACAGTATTACTCCGTATTGTGTTTCAAACATGACAATCTCAATATGTTTTCGGTGTGTAGTACAATATTTTCCATAGATACTACGAGTTACATAGCCTTTAATCTTGATACTTCTTAATCTTAATTTCTCTGATTGATCCAAGTGGTTAACTGGTAATTGAATAAGAGCTGACGGGAGGCATTAAGTTTCTCAATTTCAGTCTCGTCTGATGTTAATGCTATTTCGGACGATTTTTTCGGATCATACTTCGAAGTAGTGTAAACGTCTTTTACTTACTCTGTATCTTGCAGGTATACTCAGTAAAGAAGGTTGCTGATATAAGGAATCGATACCGTCATAAGCTCTATATTATCCAAGCCATTATTACTACTCGTACGATGATCAGTTGGTAGCCCCACTCATGTCTATTTTCATACCAACCGTTCGACAGGTCACAGCCGTCAAGGTTTCGACAACGGGCCGGCAATTGGGATAAACTCTCTCCACTTAACCTGGGTTTTCTGAAACAAACCACGATTCAGAAATGCGCTCCCCTGCCTTTACCCATGTCACCCCGCATTGCGAACGATTGCGGGTCTCGAACATTCATTTTAGGTTGTTCTGCCGTGTTGATCAAGCAATCAATCTGATTCTTGACTAATAACGGAAGAACGACAAAATGATATGAACAGGAGATGGTCACAGAAACTTTGATGCCCTCATAAATACTTTCACTTTCTTTAAGTCTTCCACGCTCGTTGTTTGTCCTCGGCCAGGTCCTCATCAATCGCTTTGTATATCAAAATTTCTGAACATCTGCTGGTTCGGTTTCTGATCTTTTATTCTATCGGCACCATGTTCTTTTCTGCTGCTGCTCTTCTTCTCGCTGGAGGCGCTCTCGCTTCACCAGCCGCTCCACTTGAAGAACGACAGGCCAATTGTCCAAAGGTTCACGTTTTCGGGGCAAGAGAAACTACCGCTCCAGCTGGCTTTGGAACAGCTGGAGTAGTTGTTGACCTCGTTCTTGGGGCATTCCCAGGTGCAACCAAAGAGGCAATCGTCTACCCAGCCTGTGGAGGCCAAGCCTCATGTGGCAGCAAGGCATATGGCGATTCGGCTCTCGCGGGTACTGCTGCGGTTGCCAAAGCTGTGAACGACTTCAACACTAAGTGCCCGACGACGCAGCTCGTTTTGGTTGGGTACTCACAGGTATGTCATGAAAAGTTCTTGGTATAAGAAGGGGAACTGACTGTTGTGAAGGGAGGACAAATTATGGATAATGCGTACTGTGGGGGAGGAGATACCAATATTGGGCTTTCCAGTACTGCTATTCCTATTCAAGCTTCGGCTGTCACCATGATCAAAGCTGCCATTTTCATGGGAGATCCACGTTACATTTCTGGACTCTCTTTTAACGTGGGGACTTGTACTGCCCAGGGCGTAAGTTATCTATATTTTCTCGTTTCTTACCTTTTCTGACATATGTGTAGTTTGCTCCTCGTCCAGCTGGCTTCAATTGTCCATCGGGTGCCAACATTCAAAGTTACTGTGATAGCGCTGATCCATTTTGCTGTAAGGGAAATGACCAAGCCACCCACCAAGGATACGGAAAAGAGTACGGCCAACAAGCTTTGAAATTCATTCAGAGCAAGGTCACCGCATAAGCTCCTTCATGAAGCCCGACGGATTTGTTGGAAAAGAAAAAGGAGAAGGACAAAAATCGCTTGGTTTACTCAGGAAATTTGGAACCCCTTGTATATATTTTGCTACCCCTGAACATATCTTTTGGCATGGATTGCCTTTATCCTGAAACTTTTATTGATATGTGAGCCTTGAAGTGTCTCTGACCAGAGCAGCTTTTGTCTACGTGACGAATATTACTCCCATCAATGGCTAAGCATTTGTTCTTTACATGTATCTGGAAGCAGGAATTTGCGGAACGGCAAATCGACCCTCTATTAGTATTGCTCGCGTCTGGTGAATTTTAAAACTCGTCTGCTCTTACGCGAGATTACAGACCAGAGCTTGATTGTCAGATGAGAAGCCAATAAAAGAAACTTCCACACTTGGACTACAGAATCGAGACGTATAAAGGGTGTTCGAGTATGTATTGAATTAGAGGAACTCATATTCGGTAGTAAATCGTCAGATATATAGTTCAAAGATGTCTCTTCCCAATGCGTAGTAAGAATGTTAAGGTTTGGACGAAGTAATAATTTTCTTAAAGAGAATTCACGCTCCTTGTCAATATAGATGTATTTTTCATACTGTGCGCCCCAATTCGTAGCTTTAAGCCCCTCTGACTCCTTTTTGCAATCCTCAGGAGCGAGCCAACCCATGGATACCATGAATTCTTCGCGCACCTGATCAGCGCTCGCTCCGTCCAAGGTCGATTTATCTTCGTGACAGCTCACATACATGCTACAAAAGACATCAGGATTCTCATTTGTTGATTTTGTGGCGTATTGTTTACGAAGCAAATCGATATTCACAAGGTCAGAGCTAGTGTATCCAACTAAGATCGTCAATTAAGATTGTGGGATTACCTACTACCCCACACACTTTTTTTCCAGGAGTGAATCTCTTTGGAATCTGGTTGGAATGCTGATATACATTCACAAAATTTAAGCAGTGATCTGATAGGACCATTTGGCCACGCGAAGCAAATCAAGCGAGCACCAATTTGTTTATTTCGAGTACTATGTGGATGGTAGGAGCGGAAGCGTGTATAGGACGAATATCTAAACAGTAAAGACCGATAAATATTCAACTTCTCCCAAAAAAGTCTTGGATCGTCAAGACAAAATGCAGGACTGCGTGAGACACGCACTAAAACTCCATACATACTGGTTCTCAATCCATCTGTTGGTATTTCAGTGCCAAGGCTGGTTGATCGCTACAGTATAAATGCCCGGCAATCTCATTCAAAGCAAAAGGCCCCCCTTCGAGCTGGTTGCCCGAGGAATTCCAATATTTCAGGATATAACCTATCTTAGAAATACGAGTTAAGGATCCTACAGTTGCGATATTGGGTATGGTTTTGTGCTTCATTCTTGCGCTCCCGTCTGAAAATTGAGATTGAAGCGCAGTTAAGCGAAAGATTCCATGTCTGATTCACTTGCTTCCTGTACCATTACACTGTCATGTCATCTATTGGATATTTTAGGCTCTAGAGTCATCTCATTAGTACGTAATTGGCAACCTTCAAGATTGAATACCACAACCTTAATCTTCACCTCATTGTGCCACAAACTCTTCTCTATCTTGCTCGTGCACCCATATATACATTCACAAGAGTAATCGGTGGTCTCCAGCTCATCTCTCTCGTTAGTCTCACTAGGCGCGAGCGTTTGAATATCATGGTACTGTACGTGGTGGTGAAAATAACCACCATCGCATCTCCCCAGATCAGAAGAAACAAGCTTTCTTGTTTGCTCACTTACCTCCCAGCCAAAAACAATTTTGCAAATGTCTTCTGTCTGAACGCCTTGAGCACCCTATCCTCTTCCCCGTCTCCTCACCCACCATATAATTCTTCCTCATACTCTGATCCTCGAACTTTCCACCAAAAAACCACTCCCTGCGCCTCCGATCCCTAACTTGTCCTTAAAGTTGCAGCCACAGTACTCCGAGCCAAGATAACAGTTTCAACTCAGATGGGTACTTCGGGTCCCGAAAGTATGATATTGATAAAATAATGATTGATTATTTGATAAAATTGCAACCCAAAAGAGATCTAGATTACAAGACTGATCTACTCAGTCAGCTTCGCTTTTGTTACCATTCCCATGGACCTCATCCTCTCGCCCGACAGGCGATTCCATCTCCAAGAAATTCATCGACAGCATCCGGCCATCTCCAGCAACCCCAGTATCATAATTAATATGACACTCGGGACAGCGGATATTTCTGATGGTGGTTTTCATTGTTGTTCCTTTTCTTGTTCGTCCATGGAATTCGGGATCGAAGAGACGGAATGAGTGATCTGATTTTTTCCCCCGCGCTGATATCGGGTGATGATGTGATAGCTTCGTTTCGTTGTGTCACTAGCTTTGTATCTTTGCTAATGATATTTTTGTCATTGTGTTGTTCTACCCCCACATAGCTCTCCGTCTCTGCTGCCGGTGGAGGTGGTGCAGTTGGTGCGGTTGGTTCGAACATTTTGGTGCTAGGCCTCATTTCTAGTGTTGTAGTGACGAATTCACATCCACCCACAAGTCTTGGTTTCAAAGGACGATCTAGTTCATCTATTTCCACTTGTGTTTCATCTCCTCTTTTAGATGAGGATGGAACTGGACCTGGACTTTTTTCATCGATGAATGACATATCATTGGCGAAGTTCATCTCTGCGCTTCCCTTTTCGAGGATAACTACCATCCAGACGCCAACATTTCCGTTGACATCAAGTAATGGTGTGGCAGAAATCCAGCAAGTTTTTCCAAGTCTCGATGGATCCAGTTCTGCACTTGGCTCTCCACGTCTGCCTTTCTTTCCCCATCTTCCGGTCACCGTCCCCTCCCTTCCTATTCCAGGGCGACTTAGGAATGCCACCTTTGCTGTCACCGCTTCACCTGATTGTAGCGACTCCTGAAGCCCAGTCAATGTGCTTGCTGGTGCTGCGATATAAGATAGAAATGGACGTTGTTGTAATTGACCCAACTTTCTTGCTGATTGGGACACGAAAATCATCCTCAATGAAGGATATGGCCGTATCAAAACGTATTTCTGATAGATCGCACCGGGTAAACGACCGGACGCTGCAGTACTTGATAGTTTCCAGGCTGTATCACTTCCAGCTTCCATGGCTTCGTCTCCTCTCTCGTTATCGCTATCTGATCCATCATCTTCTTCTTTGATTATTCTTCTTGCCTTAGGTGTTCGAGACGGACTTCCATAGAAATTATCGCTCAAATCCGCGAAACCTGTTCCACCCTGGCTGATGTCGTGAACTATGGCGCTCTCTTCTAGATTAAAAGCTTTGCCAAGTTCCCTAAGTTTCGCGAAGACCTCCTCTTTCGGATCATTTTCCTCCTCGCTTTCACGTTCCAAATCCAATTCTCGTCTCAGGAGAAAACGTTCAAATCCATCGACGCCTCGTCCCCCCTCCACGAGACGACTTGCATCCACTTGCGCACCCAGGTAGTATTTTACCTTCCCCTTCCCATCATGTAATGGGGCCAAGAGCAAGACGTTAACAAACGGCGTTCCATCTCTTCGATAATTCAGCAACGTCTCACAAATCTCCGACCCAGAAGAAATTGCTTTCCTCAATCTGCGCTTACTGTCCCAATTCGTTCGTCGCCCTTGAAGAAAACGACAATTCTTCCCTATGACACTTTCTCTGTTGTATCCCGAAAGCCGAAAGAACTCCTCAGATACATAAACTAGTGGATTATCAGGCTGATTCGGATCACTAATACGAAATACCTCGCTAAGGGCCTCCAAATAAATCGCGAGTTAGTGGCGTAGCATGGCCAGTCAACTCGGCTGCAAGACAAGACGTCGCAGTCTTTACAAGAGAGTAAGTTACCCACGCCGGAAGAGCCTGTTGTAAAAGTGCATTGAAAGCACGTTTTGAGACCTCCTGGAAGCCTGCAGATAGTTCTACGGCTGGCGTCGAATCCAGGGTCAAGTTTGGGGAATTGGACAGGTTAGCAGCAACGGCGTTTGCATAGTCTACTGCTTTGAGTACTTTTTGTACCTCCAGATACTCCGGGACGAAATGAGCCAGTTCTGGGCGGTATTTATTTAGAAAGGTAGGAAAGCATCTTAGAAGTTGAGAGTCAGATGTTAGGACTCGGAGGTATTGTTCGCAATAGAGGAGTTCAGTGAGAGTCTCCAAATTGGCGGCTTTCTCTTTGAGTGGTGGTGGTCTTAAATCGAAGTCGGAGCTTTCGGTTGTAGATATCTGAGCTGACGCTGTGGGTCGTGCAGGGTCTTTTGGCGGCCCTGCTAAATCTGACATTTTACTTTTATTCGTTGATGATTGATTGGAGTGTAGTGATAGAGAAGGGTGTGTAGTCTTTTCGGTGATTGACGTTTTCCACTCGTGAGGTTTTGGGGGTGTGCGATCTTTTCCGTCAGGCGAGATTCTGAACCAAGAAGAGGACGAAGGTTTCTCTCGCCTTTTATCTTGTCTAAGTTTAAGGGTGGACTTGTCCAGTTGACTTGAAGCGGACTGTGAATTTTCTTCAGCTGAAAAGTCTTCCTCAGCTCCAAACTTCGATTCTTTGGGGGTGAACTTGTCCAATTTCCGAGTACGACCAGATTTGGAAAACAGGTCCATAACACAGAAAACTCAATATAGACAAAAGATGTTGCCTAATTTAAGGCGGTAAATCGGATGTGAAAGGTTTTCTAATTCCATGTCGTTGATATTAGCAATTCGGCATTCTAGAATGTTCGTGGTCTAGCGCGATGTTAGAGACTCGGAAGATGTTCCACTTCCGACAAATCTTCCAATTCAAATAATGAACAAAGGGTTACGTGCAAATCATCGACTTCAGGTATGAGGAAAATCTTATCTAAACGACAGGAGAATCTTTTCCAAATTTATAAACTGTCCCTATATTGTTCTGATCATATCTAGGCTTAAGCGTCGTTACACAGATGCCATAACCGTATAACTTACATGTTTAAAGTTTAACACGCCATGACTTGCGGCCTTTGACTAAGCTAGAGCATGTGATATATTTTAATCTAAACCTTACTCTATATTGAAATTGTTAGTATAGTTAATATGCTCAAGATATCTAAGCAGACTTTGAAGACTAGTGTTAGAAAGAGCTTGTGGCTAGCATAGAACCACTGTATTAAGTATACTATGTACTAGTATTAGCTACTAAAGTATAGAGTGCTTCTTTACGAAATTCTAGTGTATCGATACTAATTATCTTACTTTCTAATATTATCTTCTATTTCCTATCTTTCCGTATTTAGGGGAAGTAGCTTTAATCGAGTTCGAATTATATAATAAAAAGAATGTCCTCTCTATAATAATATTTCTAGTATACTTGAGTAGTATAAGTCTCTAACTATAGTATATTACTAATCTAGTTTCCTAGAGTTATCGAGACGATTTCTACTCGCGCCTCGGATATCGTTAGAGAGCCCGAGACTCTTGAACTAAGACTACCTAGTATATTATACGTCTAAGTATAGCTTAATATCTTTATGTATAAGATATCGAGTAATAAATACTAGGTATCGTACTTAATTCATTTACAAACTACAGAAGCATATTCACTAGACCAAGTGAGAATATTAGACAGTTTTGGATTTTTTCATCTCATGTAGCCATGTACTAAGATGAAAATACGAACGAGTGATCTAAATAACCTACCTACCCTACCGAGAAAAGAGTCAAAGGATAACCCCCATGAAACCAACCAACCAGGCTCAGCCCATAATCTAGATAACAGCTCCTCAACCTCCCAAATTCGCCATTCCCAAATTCGTCCCCGATCCATCCCCCCTTCCCGTTCTCGCCTCCCTAACCTCGCCCTCTTGCCTTGTGCCACCTGGACTCGCGCCCGCTGTCACACCACGAATATTCAAGTTCCCAATGCGACTTACAATATTGCTACCCACTGCATCCACCGCACCTCTCGGACTAGAAAGTGTCGGTCCCAATGGAGCCACAGTCTCTACCCGGAAAAGTTTAATCGCCGTCCCATTCCAAACACCCACCGTACCCTTCGCAACCTGCATCTCAGCGGTAAAACAGAAGCTCCAAAGAAGGGACTCGTACCAGCCCAGAGAGAGGGGCGACCATTCGAAGTACTGGATTCGAATGGGTGAGGGGTCGATGCCGCGGATATCGGATTTGATGATGGTGCGGAGGATGGAGGCGGGTGGGTTGTCGGTTGGTGCATCAGCACCGCGAGGGAGTTGAGGGGTCAATTGCGAGATGAGGGTCAGGATTGTGTGGAGAGGAAGTTCAGGGAGCCAAGATTCGATCCAGGTGGTTGTTGGTTCGAAGGCTCCGGTAGTGGAGAAGCCCGTGGTTACATATGAGCTGAGTGATGTGGTACTATTTTGGCGAGAAAATGTGGGCATACCGGCTGGACTTTTATTAGTAATGTTCATGTTGTGTAGGAATTGTGACTACTGACCTGGCATTTTTCCACGAGCCTTTTCTGACATGCCCCGCAACTGTGTAGGGACTGCATCATCTACACCACCTTCTATACCCGAAGAGGCGGATGAGGCCTGTGAATTATCTGTGGCGGTTTCGGGAGGAGTTGGTTCATGATCGTCATCATCATCATCGTCGTCATCATCTCCAATCGCAAATGCGCCATCCTCTTCAGGGACATCACTCAGTGCCGAGACTCTTGGTTGAGTTGATGTCGGGCTTCTCATACTATCCACAGAGCCTCGACGACTTTCACTCAAATCTAGGGGATCAACTGGGCCACGTTCTTTTCTCCTTCGGTTTCTTCTCTCTATTTCCTCTTGTCCACTTTCAAGTGTGAATGACCGTAATGCTAATCGAATCAGTCAAAGTCAAGAGACTTGCAAATTTACGATCACTTACCCTCGAATCTCTTCTTATTTCGTAAGACTGCATAGACGAAATTTGGGTTCTCTGGATAGATATTAGTTTCCACCACAATGCGATTTCTAGTGAAAAATGCACTTACTAGAAAATTGATGCTCGATGATTGCGTTCATGCTTTCTAGCAGCGATTGAAGCAGGTTATGATTGCTGTCATTACCGAGAAGAAATCCTGGAGACGACATGGATGAAAAGAGCTGAAGGAGTTTTGAAGACGCAGATGCGCTCAAATTTTCAAGGTGAGCAGCGACATTGTTTATGACTGCTAGCAAAGCTGGGTAGATAGCAGTGAGCTTTCCCTGGCTCGTGGTGATTATGTTGTAGATGGACTGTTATTAGTTAGCAGTTTTTCTCCTGAGATTCTTTGCCGAAACTGACGTGTATGATAAAATCAGCATATGATCCGCTGAAATTTTGTAACCTGATTGTCATGGGTAGGGTTTCCTGATTCTCAAATTTCTTATTCAAACTCTTCCCAAAATTTGGCTCCACACTTAGAGTTTGTAATATAAAAACGCACATCCGCACAATTCCTTGCTTAGAAGCGTCCAGCTTGTAATCAATAGCATAGTAGAATAACAAGACTAGAAAGTCGTGAGACCGGTTGGTATCGATTATGAAGCTTCGGAATCTCTTATTGCATTGAGTCACTTCCCAGAAGAACATGATCATCTCGGATGTTAGTTTGTTGTTTTTCTCTTGGTTTCCAGGTATGTAGGATGTACTGGCATGGAGAGGATAATTGAGAACCCTAGTAATTCCATCCGTAATGAATTGGAAGTCTTGAGGTCGATGTAATCGTCCCAGGAAATGACGAAAATAATCTAACTGGTCAGCATGAGAGAAAAATCATGAATTGCATTGCTTACTTTTCTTTGCATGGTTTGGGTCCGACTCAGGTATGGGATACAGAAGGACTACCAGGAGAAACTGCAATTTGTTAGAGAAGATTGCGCGAATACCGATTAACCGTAACTCACCTGTATTGAGTATGTGACAAGTATCAGCTTCGGGTCTTTGAAGACCTGAACGTTATATGGGATCTTCCAAGACGCGGGATTATATTTGAGAGACTAGATTCGAATTAGTACCTCCATATGAGGGGTCAATTCGACGCGGCCAACGTACTGTATTCAGCAGAGAGCACAATGTTGAAAGCACGACCTGCTTATCCGGGCAGGTAACGATATAAGAAATCGCTTTAACACCTGTCACCGGAAGCAGATTTGCAGACATGTACATGCTCTGACTAGTAAGAGTCAAGAGCAAACGCAGCACTTCCGTCCTGTTGCTCTCAAACTCCCTACTTGTTCCCACGGAAGTATTGCATCCCACTCCGCTCGACCATATAGCATACGTGACTTTATTCTTGACATTTGGTGGTTTTGGCAGGGTGAAATCGGCAAAGAAGAGAAGGTCCACCAATGTGTCAATCAGCTCTTCGGCCAGAGGTTTAACCTCCTCAAACTCTTCACCAGCGGCCTCTAACTTTGCCAATTCCTCCTGCGACTCATCAAACAGTACATCTCGTGCCAACGCAGCTTTTCTAGATACCAGTCAGTTGTGCGCATTCATCCAGATCTTGGCTCCTATGTACCGTGTCCGTTTCCTCCTCACGCCCCAAAAGAACTTGTCCTCCCATGGTTGCAGCTGTTCTGCTTCGTATAGATATGGTAATATGCGAGTGAGCACGCGTATGCAGTTCAGCGCATCCTTCTCTGGTGCGAATTCGGGGTCTGGGAATGACGGATGGTGGCGTAAGATAAAGAGTCGACTGGTGACGGCGAGGATGAGTGTTTCGAGGTTCTCGAGCGCCGTATCGCGGGTTCTGCGGATGTCTGCTGGGGAAAATAGACTGAAGATATCCTCGGTGGACTCTGGGAGCTCCCAGAACTATGTTCATCTGGTCAACTTCGGATGCGCCTGGAGCTTCATGATGCTAATGGTAGCCTTACAGATGCCCAATATGGGTCGTCAGCCGCGATCTCTCGCTCCTCTGAGAGCTTGAAAATGCCCTTTTTAAAGACGAGCTTCGAGTCAGACGCTCCCATCGTGACTTGTGTCTGGCATTTGTCGGGTTGTCGGGTGCATGTGAAGGTTTAGTAGGTGTATAGCATTCGTTTGGTGGTGGTTGATGGCCTCGCCTACACTTACTTGTCTTGGTGCAATCTGGTGATTGACCATTTGGAACGAAACTAGAAGCTGTCAGAGCAACTCAATATATACATTTTCAAGGCCAAAATCGGTCCTGGTGAATCACAATCACAAAATCCGCATTGCGAATTAATCGACTTGAAATGTTTACAAATTCAGGGTTGCTGCAACTGTGGCTGATACATTCTTTTATTCTAGTCGCCAGAGGGGTATCTACTCATTACAAAATTCAATTCCACACAACCTCCATTACGTATACAGTCTTGCACTCCCCGAATTTCTTCTTTCCTTGTCGTAAAGCCATTTGCTATTCAGCCCAACAGAGGGGTTTCTGGCGGGTGAGGGACTTGGAGATCCTGGTGCCTCCGCCATGAATTTAGAAGTTGAGCCACCAAGTGGGCTTGCTGAACCATACGACCGCCTTCTGTACCCTCCTGAGGTGTCTCCCATTGCCTTCTGTACTAGCATTGAAGACGGCCCAGAGGACGATCCAAAAAAACTGCCAGCTAAGTCGCTTTCTATTCCGTTTCCTGGTCCTTTTCCGGATAATGGTGAATTGGCATTGCTTCCTCTTCCGACCGGCGAATTGTTCACGATTGGAGTTCTCTTATATTTGGGAGGAGTGGAGTACTGGGCGTCCGGTGTGGCAGCTCTTGAGCTCGGGGGTAGGCCAAATAGTTTTCGCTGTCCGGGGGTGAGAGGGATATCTTCGACGGGGTCGGGGGATCGTGCGAGTGGGTAGAGAGCAAGAGTAATATTGTACAGCATGACTGCGTGGAGAAGGTAGTAAGTCCATGATGCGTATGGCTGGAGGAAGTGGTCCTGATTGTGGAGACTTGGAAAGCTACAATTTTGGTTAACAAAGCTCTATCCTGGTAGAGAGACAATACTCACTACTTCCAGATTGATCTTCCTATAGAATACACCACCGTCATACCACCAAGGTTGTAGAGAATTGTGATAATGTTTCTGTCTGTGAAACTAGCTGCATTTTGCCGTCTGATAATCTCATCCATCTTAGGGTGTCGCCATGTTCCTGTTACTGGCGTAGCTGGGCCTGAGGGAGCTTGTGGCAGTCTTGTAGGGGTTGAGGGGTAGACGGAAGTCATTTGTCGAGACATTGCGAGATGTTTCCGACAGTTTCAGTGTATTGTTTTTATTCTGTTTGAATGTAAAGTTAGCATGATGGCAAGTTTGAGGGTCGCATGTCAACAAAGGACTGTCATGAATGCACGTACTGATTGCGATTGGGTTCTGTCTCTGTCTTTATGTGTCAGTGTTTGTGTGGTAAAGAAGTCGCTGCTGGTTAGTACGGAGCTGCCTCTGAAAAGTTGTGCCTATATCATTCTGGCGATGGATGTGGAATCAAGTTGGGACAGGAGCTCAATGTTCAGGTTGTTTTGGAAAGTTCACGATGGGGGATAGGTACCTCAGAAACTGGGCTGCAAATCAGGCCCCTGTTGGTTGTCCACTGGTTGAAGTGGAGGTACCTGGCCTGGTACTCAAGTACAGGGCAGGCACTTCCCCACCACCCGCAGAACAGCCGATTGTCCCGCCTACGCCCCTCCCAGCCTTGTAAGCCAACTCCGACGACCGGTCGGAGCTTTACTGAGGTGTTGTTGGCTGATTGTGTGAAACCTCTACGAGTACAACCAGAATCATCATCAACGGGTACGAGTGAGTACTAGCAGTACTACCTCTGCAATCATGGACAACTTCATGCTGAAGCTCGATGAGTTCGTCACCGATCTCTTCGGCCAGTGGGATATCTACACCACCATCATCGCAGGATCTATCGTTACCTTTACTATCTACTCGATCGTCAACTCCCGCGATCCCGATGCACACCCAATGCTTCTCGCCCGCCAGGCGCAAGCATCGCCGGTCCGACAAGAAGGAGAGTCTTCCGTATATCGATGCCACTCCGCTCCTCACGGTACTCCGCTCGCCTCGGGTCTGAATGTAAAGGACGCAACCGATTCAAAATGGAGCCGAGGACGAGATGGAGACTTGCGGGATATCTGGCGAAGAGTTGTCACCGGAAAAGTCGATGCAGAGGGTAATCCAGCAGGCGAAAAAGGAAGGCTTTTGACCATACTCGGCTCGGAAAAGACGGTAGACCACAATCTTCGTAAGTGCCTTCAGTGTTGTCCATATCTACATACTAATGGCTAGAGATAGCTGATGTCAGTCGACAACTCAACCTAATTGGTCAGCATCTCAAGCAGAACGGGGGAAAGAATGTAGCCATCTATCTACCCAACTCGGTGGAATTCTTGGCTACATTGTTTGCCTGCGCCTTCTACGATTTGGACGTGGCACTTGTTCCTTATGACCAGCCAATTGATCAGATCATCTCATTCCTCAAACAGTCAAAATCAGATGCGGTTGTAGCAGCAGTTGGATCATTCCCTTTTGATGTTGTTTCCAAAAGCTATCCTGCCCTGAAGCAACTGATTTGGGTCGTCGACGATGGCAGCAAACATATGGATTGGAATGAGGTCCCTACCGGTACGGGTGGGCCAGTCAATGTTTCCACATGGCAAGAAATTATCCAAGATGCATCACCATCCAGTGGAGCAGATCTCCCAGCTATTGATCGAACAACCGAGCCCAAGAAGGTAATGGCTTTCTCTCCTGCTGGTGAACTTGTGGAATACACCCACGCCAACATCGTTGCTGGCGTTGCTGGTCAGCTTTACTCGGTGCCAACAACACAACGAATCAAGCCCACAGACTTATTCCTTCCTGTTGTATCATTGGCAACCATTTTCCCACTCACCTTGACCCTCGCTGCCCTCTACTCAAACGCCTCTGTTGCATTGAACTCGGTTGCAGTCAAGAATCCAGATCTGGTTTTGGCAACCCAAGGTGTCGCTCCTACTGTCATTGTCGCATCACCGGAAACAATGGCAAAGGTTCTTTCAGAAACTACAGAAAAGATGTCCTCTCCCGTTTACCGCATTATCCACTCACTTCAAACTCGTACACTTCACGAAGGCGGAGTTCTACCAAGTCCAACCATGTTCTCCCGTCTCTTCGACTCCCTTCGCCCAATCATTGGCAATATTCCTGGGCAACTGCGTCTGATTTACATTCCCCACCAAATCGGGGCAGACTCGCCTCCTCTTAGCGCTAAGGATCTATCAGACTTGCGAATTTACACCGGATCTAGGATTGTTTATGCTCTTACATCTCCTCAGGTTGCTGGCGCAATCACCCAAAGTGCTATCTATGATTACCGAGTGGACAAGTCCTCAGGGAACTTTGCTCACTTTGGTCCGCCTGTGACAAGTATCGAGATTCTACTCAAAGACACTGCACAACTCAAGACCACAAACGAATTGTCCATCGGAGAGGTAAGTCTTGAGAGGTCAGTTAATTCTGCAATGCTTACATATAATAGCTTTATGCGGGCGGCCCTGCAGTTGTTGGGGGTGTGGTATCCATGGGTGTCAATGGTAAGATCAATGGGGACCATACATTCGGTCTATTGTGATATCGATCCTGAATATAGTTCCTTTTCGGCTATTCGAATTTTCGTCCGTGACGTGAGAGAGAAGTTCTCGGTGGGTAATTGATGTAGCTTGTTCTTATGACAGATCTCTTCATCTGGTCTCCTCGCATTTCGTTCAACAACTGGGAATTGAATTCTACTTTCCCCAAATCCTGACGTTGCTTCTTCTTTTGCTACCAAAGTGCCTGCGTAGCCTAGCGCCACAAAGGCAGCCGGCTTGCTGCCCGCATTGATGGTCGTCTAGTTTTCGCGAAAGACGTGTTCGTTACTCCGTACACACCTCTCTTAAAATAATATTATCCTGAAAGTTTCGCACAACTTGAGCAGTTATGCGCAGTTATCTAAGGGGTTTGGAATAATGAGCCTAGGTATACTGAGACAATAATTTTACTTGTACTAGAAGTTTAGTGTTTTTATATTGTGCACAAAGTAATGACCAGATATCTTACAGCCCGCTCCAACTAAAGTTCGCTCGGTCTTACCTTAGCTGGCAAGTAAGCTGATTATCCCCCCTCTCTACCCCTCACTCATTGCAGATTCCGCGTTTTAGTCTAGTAGCCAATTGATCCTGCAGTTTGTGTTTTAGTTCTGCAATGTCACATTTCGGATTCCCGGATGAACTACAAAAGTGGTTTCCAATGCTCTCCCCTTCCTATCCCATTCCCTATCTTTATCATCTTGATTCAACCCAGAAACAAGGCAATTCATCGTTCTCAATATGTCAGCTGAATTCCCCACTCTCAGCTCCCTTGAGCAGTTTCTCGAGCAGGACTTCGATTTTGTGGTCGTTGGTGGTGGGACAGCAGGTCTCACTGTCGCCGCGAGATTATCTGAGAACCCTGATGTGCAAATTGGGGTTCTGGAAGCGGGACAGGATCATTTTGGAGATCCGTTGGTATTGATGCCTGCGGCGTATCCGAAGATGATTGGGGATGGGAGGTATGATTGGAAGTTTAGGACGGTTCCGCAGGTATGTAGATATTCCAATTTCAGATTTGTTCAAAGAAAGAAGTGGAAAGAAGGGGATCTTGTTTGGTTCAGATGCTTACTTTGATTTTTGGTGAAAAGGTATATTCTCATGGAAAGAGCATTGAGTGGTCCCGTGGAAAAGGTCTGGGCGGATCGAGTGCTATTAATTACCAGATGTATAATCGTGGTCAGGCACTAGATTACGATGATTGGGCCAAACTTGGAAATCCAGGGTGGAATTTTGAGAGATTATTGCCGTACTTTAAAAAAGCTGAGAAGTTCATTTCTCCTCCTTATTCAACTGAATCTAATATCCCACTGGAAACTCAGCATGACGGACAATTCCATGGAAGTGAGGGCCCGATACGTACCTCTTTCTCCACATGGCGTTGTCCCATTGAGAAGGAATGGGTAGCTGCGTCCTCTACGGCTGGGGAGAATATCGGACTTCCCCTCGATGCGTGGAGTGGGAATCATCTGGGGACGTTCCATGGATTGAGTAACATTGATCGATCACCTGGACCTGCGAGTGCAACGAGGAGTTATGCTGTCTCGGGGTATCTCCTCCCCAATGCCTCACGCCCAAATCTTCACATCTTGACCAACGCCTTGGTCACCAAGCTCGTCCTCGCTACGGACTCGAGCTCAGTCACAGGCGTCTCATTCCGCCATTCAAACCAAGAATACACCGTAAGTGTGAAGAAAGAAATCATTCTCGCAGCAGGCGTCATCAAGTCCCCTCAAATCCTCGAGCTATCAGGAATAGGAGATCCAGAGATCCTTAAGAAGGCAGGGGTACAATGTCTCATACCCAATCCCCGCGTGGGAGAGAATCTTCAGGATCACCCTGTGACGGGGCTTTCGTATGAAGTTGTAGATGGGGAGTATACCCTCGACCTCCTACAAGATCCACAGGAGAGTGAGAAAGCGATGATGGAGTACATGAGCACACGCACGGGACCGATGTCCAGCGGGGGGTCGACACATTGTTTTGCGAGTTTTGCTGCGCTTGCTACACCCGAGGAAATTGAGGAACTTCAAAATGTAATCCTCAATCCACCTTCAGGAGTCAAAGAATACCGGAACAAGCGAGGAAATTGCTAGCCGAGGGACTCTGGAAGAAAAACGACGCGAGTATACAACTCGTCTTCCTCCCCGTCACTTTGAACGTCGAAGGTCTCGATGAGCAAACTGCCTTCTTCACGCCACCGGAGGACATGAAGGGAAAACAGGGGTTCACGGTAGGCGCTGCTATTTGTCGACCGCTATCCGTTGGTTCTTGTCATATTCGTACCGCCAACCCATTTGACGACCCGTACATCGATCCGGGGTATCACTCCCATCCCGTGGACGCTATCATTTTGTCGAAAGCAGTGTCTCTCATTGAGAGAATCTGTGCCACTCAGCCGTTAAGGGAGAAAGTCAAAAACAGGAGTTTCCCAGGAAAAGAGGTTGAGCTGGGGAGTGAGCAGGTGAGAAGGGATTTTGTGAGGAAGTATACGGGGACGGAGTATCATCCCATTGGGACCTTGTGTATGGGTACAGAAGGGGGGGGGAGGGGGGTGGTAGATGAGAGACTCAGGTTGAGAGGGATTAGAGGGGTGAGGGTTGTTGATGCTAGTGTTTTCCCGCTTCATGTTGGGGGGAATATTGTGGGGAGTGTTTATGCGGTTGCGGAAAAGGCGGCAGGTCTTTTGAAGGAGGAGTGGGGTATGTGAGTTATTAGAGGTTTGGTTTTGATTGTAGGTTGTTTATGTGATAGTCGAATCTAAGAAGAGGGGTTTTGGGACCTATAAAACATAGGGGTTCTGGAAGCTTTATTTGGTGGTATGAAATTATAAGAGAAGGAGTTATTATTACCTAAAGTAATACTAGAAGTATATGAGAATTATTCTAGAATAAGAAGAATAAGAATAATTATAAGAAATAGAGAGGTGATAAGTCTTCGCGTAAGTTACTCTATGGTAGAAAGTAGTTGTTCAGAACTTAGAGAGAATATAATAGATTTGCCTATATAGTTAATACAGTGAGTTACGAATTAAGCTTAAATGGTTTGGTTTGGTTTAGTTCCCACTTTAATATATATCTGTACGTAGTCAGAACGCGAAAATTTATTTAGAATCGGATTCTGAGTCCTTAGAGCCGCTAGAATCGGATTCAGACTTAAAGCTACTACTAGAGGATTCTAAAGAGCTTATAGGGTTATATTTAGGGTTGTCTAGCCTTGCGTACTCCGCGCGTAGCTCCCTAAGCTTAACCTTGTCCTTTGTGAGAATGCACGTCTAGGACAGTACAGGTTGATAGATTAAATTGACTACGAGGAGCGAAAGAGGTCCCAGGACCTGAAGCTATTTGAAGTTGAGCTCGTCGCCTCGTGGCTCACGTGACTAAAACCACATTCACTATACACAAATCAAAATCGTCACATAAGGTCCTCCCTTAATCCCCTGGATGCCAGTCTGTATCTCTCAAATCATTCCCCTCACCACTACTAGTAGTAGTGCTTTATGGGTCTTCTTCGGAGTCTCCTGTCTCTTCTAGCCCACGAATTTCCTGTTCTTTTGCCACTAAACGCTCCCTTCTACTCGGTTTCAACTTCCGAGGGAAGTCTTTCTCGAACTTTTTAATACTCCCGGAAGCCTTTATTATGTTAACTAGTGGTTCCCACGTCTCTTCGTCGTAACCCCTCCAACGGATCAGGTATTCAAAGCCGCGGGTCTTTGTGCGACGGCTGTCACAGATCTTGTCGATCAGATATTCTGGTTGGCCAGAAGCATCCACTGAAATAGGTGGTAGCGGGGGGTTCTTTTGTCCTGGTAAAGGCTTGCCAGGTGCTGGTTTCAGGCGATTGGTGTGGAATACTGGGTGGATACCGCTAAGCTCGTACGGGAGCTGTAACTCGTAGGCGTGGGAGTTGACGATTCTAGTAACTCGATAAGGTCCGATATACTTCTGATCAAACTTTGGGATAGGTTTTGCTGAGGTGATATTCTTTGTTCTTAGTAAAACCATGTCCCCAACTCTATAGGCCGGAGCAGGGCGTCGGTTAGCGTTTGCAAACTCTTCCATCTTATCTTGGGCAACACTGAGATTAGCTCGCAACATGGACAGGATATCGTCCATCTTTTGAGTAAACTCCAGTGCTTCGTTGTACCGCAATCGTAGGTGCTGAGGAGAATCCCTAGGGATAGAACGTGGTGAGCCGAAAGACATTCGAGGGTGATAACCGTGGTTTGCAAAGAAGGGTGACATGCCTGTAGAAGAGCTAGCTGCGTTACGCATTGCAAACTCTGCCATTGGCAGGAGCTTCTTCCAGTTGGTTTGGGCGTAATCGACGTATTGGCGGAGGAATTGGTTAAGCCACTT